GGGGGACAGACAGGAGGACAGACGCTTCTCCACGTACAGCTGTGGTATTTTTTTTCCTCATGTAAGTTTCCAAAGACAGTTACAGTTACTACGTTACTGTTGTTTGGTCCTGTAACATTGCTTTGTGGGACATTTCTCTTTATTAAGTTGAGTGAGAGACCTGTGCAGTTATCAGACTGTCTGACCGACACGCCCTCGCTCCTGCGTCCCTGATACTACCTCCAGAGGAGGATCAGGGCCGGAGCGACATTTCCCCCCTCGCCGCATCTGAAACTATCACACAGAGGAGGGTGCAGAGAATTGGCGCTGGATCCCCGCATGCAAACGGCAGTGTGAATGGGGCTACTGTCCCTGTCCCCACTCTCTGCTTCTTCACACTTCCACTACTAATTTTGGATCCTCATCATTTTGGTAGTTTCAAAACATTTTTTTGATGTGGAAACCCTTACTGCCATTGCTCTCTCTCTCTCTCTCTCTCTGATGTATGCTAGCCTATATTACAGGGCTAATTAATATGTCCTGCCCAGTTCAATTACTAGGCTATGCTACAACTGAGTCTGTTTATGCTGCCAGGTTTCATCCCATTTCAGATGTAGTTCACTTTCTTCTTTCAGAGTTTATATGCGCTGACCATGAGGTGTGGTACTTTCACTGTGGAATGGGGTTCATCTCCCTACAGTGTCCTTGCTAAAAGCCAAATTATATGAAAACACAATAGTTATCAATCTACACATTTCACAACAAACCCAAATGTCCCTGACATCCCACCTTCAAACACAACCTCATTTGGCCATTCATGAAAAAGCTACTTAACCTCCCGCTTTTTTATAACATACTTCCTATGGGCACTGCTCTAGTGAACATTAACTACAGGAAAACATTATTTTGAAAAAGTCAGTCTGCACAATAATGTGAAACCTTTTTAATCTACATCATTAAGTGTGTGTCAGATCAGTTGAGAACTAAATAATAGAAAGCAACCTTTACTTACAAGATGGAAGGCATTTGGCTGAAAAACAAAATACAAATTGTTTCAGTTACAGTTGTAAATACCAGAATATCTTTTGTCACCTAAACGCCACTGAAATCTCCTCTTCTATCACTCAAACTGTAAAATAAAGGATGAGAACAGGAACAGTCACTGCAGCAGTGATGGTGACGGCCATGCCACTGGACTTCTCTGCTGAACAAAAAAACAAAATAAAACTAAGAGGTACAGATAAAGTAGGTTACAAGTATATCCATCTATCCAACAATTTACTCATACATACATATGTGCATCTGTTGCTGTGAACTAAGACATGGAGTTGAGTTAATACAGTATAATAAGTCAGTCATACCCCAGTTGGTCCTGATCTCTGCTTTGTCCAGTTTGGTGACGATGTCGTTCTTCACACCAGAGAGCTGAAACACACAGTCGTACCTCCTCCAGTCTTCAGGTGTGACTGATGAAAGTTCCAGGTCAACACTCATCTGGAAGGATCCATCGTGGTTGAGGAGGATCTCTCCGTGGTCCACGTCCTCATGAAGCTCCTCTCCATCTTTCCTCCAGAACATCAAGGCACTGTCAGGGTAGAAACCTGTAGCGTGGCAGCTGACTGGAGAGGAGGGAGTCTTCTGAAGGAGAGACACTGAGGGAAGGTCTGGAGAGAGAGAGAGAGAGAGAGAGAGAGAGAGAGAGAGAGAGAGAGAGAGGGAGAGAGAGAGAAATTAAACCAAAAATTACATTGACAGACAGCTTCAGTTAAGAAGTGAATGATCTCATAGACAAAGGCAGCAGACATTTTCTATCTATGCCATAAAATATGCTACAGACCTATTCAAATAAACCTGAATGTAACCAGTTTTACCAGGGTATTAAAGTGAAAGACCTCCCTGGGTTAGGGTTAGGGTTAGGGTTTGTGTACATCCTTCCCAGAATGACAACAAACATTGGATGTAAATCTTAATACAACCAATTTCTACTTTTAACTAGAATCCAAACATATTTTTATAACCCTATGAGCCTGAAATTAGAAAGCTCTGTTTTTCCAAGAGAAGATTGCGTGAAGTCTCAGACAACCCTGACCCTGATCCGGAGAAAACAAACTGTTCAGCCAACAACAATCTCATCTTAAATATTAATAAAGATTTTAGTTACAATGTAAAAACCCTTTATAAAGAGTGCACATTCCCAGGTTTATGGGGATTTGGTGTCTAATTCGGGCCTTGTGATTCTACCTGTTCTCTGCAGAGAGGTCTTTGCATATTCCACATACTCCTTAAGGCACTGAATGCACTTGTAGTTAAGGGCGTTCTTCCAAAACATAATTTTATCTATATTTCTGTCCCACTCGTGTTTGATGATGACAGCCTGTGGTTTTGGAGTAATCCATGTCAGTGTTGTTTGGTCAAATGTGAGGAAGTCTTCACCGTCATAACCATACTGATTAAAACCATTGGTGTTTCCTGTCTCATCATCCCATTCACAGCCATTCATCCGTTGGAAAATGTGGATACCTGAGAGAGACAGAGACAGACTACAGTAAAGCAGAGGGAGATCACAGCACAGTCATCTGTATTACATCTTTACCAGAGACACAATGACCCACAGACCAAAACAGAGGATTATCTTGATGCTTGTAAATCAAAATGGAGACTATATGTTTGCAACTTTACAACAAACCAGGATGAAAAACATTTGTGAACAAACCTCCAGTTTGGTTAAAACGAGACATCAAACTGTTAATGGTGTCTTTGAAGTCGTACTCGTTGTTAGTACACCTGTTAGTGTACCACTGCAAGCGCTCAATTCTCTCTTTGAAAAATCTTTCCATCCAGTCAGTTTTGGCTTGTGGTATCAGTCTGTCGCTGTCACAGTGAGCCATCGGAACTTCATCAACCACTGCAACAGCCACAAACTGTGGGACACCTCTGACTCCATAAGAAGAAGTGAGAATATACTTCAGGGAGTGTTTCACTGCAAAACATACACATGTTTAAATTAGGATCCTTTTTAATCTATTTTACCTTTATTTAACCAGATAAGTCAATTGAGAACCAGTTATCATTTATAAAGATGCCCTTGTGAAATGTAAAACTAACACTGAGCTGCAGCTTATCACTGAGCTAACACAGATTGGTTTAAATGAAACTAAAATTAAAACATTTCAGTCAGATCTGGGTTGAGAAACACTTTTGCTTAGTAGGAGTCACAAATTGAAGTTGTATACTGACATAATTTCATATCACAATATGTACAGTTGCATTTAACATTTCTGACACAGAATAAATTCAAACATCTTTCATATGTTCCCTTTTAAATATTCATTTTAATTTCAGATAAACTAAGTAACTAAAATAACAAGTTTTGCATTTTCAAGTTAAATAAGCAAAAAATAGACTAAATAAAAGTACATATTTTGTGTGCATGTATGTGTGTGCACATGTGTGTATGGAAAGGAATCAGATACGAATTTAAAATTATATCCACTGGTGTGGCTGTGAGTTTTATTTCTTTTGTTTTCTTTCTTTTTCTCTTTTGACTTATTGATTTTTTGTAAGTAACTACAGTAACATATTGAAGAACAAGCAGTCTATGATGTTTCACTTCCCTTTAAATGGGATGTTGTGTGTTTACTGGTAAACTGCTTTCAGCAAGTGTTGAAAGGAAACATAAAATTAGATCTTACCTGGAAATGCAAAGTGGCACAAAACAGACAACAGTATGAAGGTCTTCATGCTCTGGTTAGAATAGCTTCCTTTCAAATTAAAGGTATCAGAAGCTCTCCTCTCTGTGGCCAGAGTGGCTCCTCCCTTCCCTCACTGTGTCTTAGCTGTAGGATGTTCAACAAGAAGAACAGATAAAACAGAGGGAACAATACAATCAGTTATAAATATTCTATCTTCAATAAAACTTGTAGCGTTATTATTTTGTGAGAGACCACAGGTAAAGTGAGTCTGACGTCCTTTTCAGGCTCTGGCTCATACTAAAGGACTAATAATAATGACTGTGACTGTGTGGCTGTACAGACTGTAGCTGTTTGTTTTTCCTGAATCAGCCAAGATTCACTGGGAACAGAAAGTAAAAATGAGGAAGAACAGTAAAGCATTTTTGCTTATGCAGAAACATAAATAAAGTTGCATCAAGCGTTTTCATGGTTCATTCATGACTCAAATTCTACACGTCATATATTTTATTTTATGAATAAAAATTAATAATGTCACAGCCTATCTTGGTGCTCCTGTTTCCACGTGTAGTTTGTCTAATCTACAGAATTACTGTCATGCAACATTATGAATATTACAAACTGTTTCCACAACAGCTCTTCGTTTACAGACACTCACTCACACAAAGATCCTGAATACAAAAGAACAAGAACGAGACCTGCACTGAGGATACAAAGTCCTGCCTTCAGTTGTTTCTGCCGCATTCAACCGAAAGGATAATACTGGACATGGCCTACTTGGAGGGGAGACATGTACGGTGGACCGAGCTGCCTCTGGAAAAAATGCTAGTTAAATAGTGATTATTGCATTTTCAGACATGAGATACTGGGCTATCATTTAAAAAAAAAAAAGTGTCGAACTTGTTGTCATGGATATAAATGACATTTGTGAAGTGGTGTTAAACATTATTTGATGGCAATTAAATTTTATTTTAGTTGAGGACAACTTAACACATGTAAAGCACAACTGTGTCTGAACTGTGTCTTAATTACGTCACGGTTTAGGTGTAGGATAAATAATGGTAGCATATATAATCACATACAACAAAACACACTGCATATCCTTTCCAGAGGCTGATAAGGCTTTTAACACCAGACCAAGATCCAGTTTCAAACTAAAAACAGATTTTTCCCCTTGACAGCTTCAGCAAATTTAGCAGCAACATTTGTTCTTAATCTTTCAGAAAACAAATATCATATTGGATATTTTGACTCATATTCTAAACTTAATTAACTTTATTTTTCTAAAATTTGAGCAGAATATTCTTTATCAAAGCTGTGACAGCTGTTATATTTTAGCATTACACACACCTCCAACCTGACTACAGCACTATCTAAACCTCATGGGGGTTTTGTATGCCTAAACTGCCTTTGTTTAAATACATGTAATATACTGCACTAAATTTTGGACAAAGAGTTTTTTCATCAACATGTTGAGAATGTCTAAACAATCCTTAACAGATAATAATATCAGGATAAAGGATTAATTTGGTTTCCTTCACTTTTATTAGTTTGTGTGAACCATAACCATATCAGGATTAACAGGAGGGATGTAAAACCCAACTTCACATCCACAAACACAGATTTTAAGGAGCAGTAATTCAGACAAAAATGGATCCTTAAAACAGTGAAAAGCAATAAAATGTAACAGCAGCTAAATATAGCTAGATAAAAGATTGGTGTGTATACATATCAGAATTTAGAAACCAGTTCCACAAGACCTCAGAGGCCCAGCAGTTTCATATTGTAGAAGCAGCTCAGTGATACATGTTGGGGCTAAGCCATTAGTGCTGATTTATATATGAGGACTAAGATTTTATTGTTTGACTTTCTGACACAATAGAGGGACAATATTTTATAACAGGGTTTAGTGCAGAGTTTTCATTAGTGTGCTTCAAAAGTAGAAACATGAAACTTACTACTGATCAACAAAGAAAGATAAGTAGTGCCTCACAATCTAAACTAGATAAGGTCCAGGACCTCCTTTTCAGTCTCTAGTAAGGTCCAGAAACAGCTGGACAGTAGCATCACTCCAGATGTTGTTACTCCTGGAGGATTTCCTCGACAGTAATGCTTCTGTCAGCTCTGACTGACAGCTAAATAATCTTCTTTGGTGAGTAAAGGAATTCATACTTTAACCTGTGATGTTCTGACAGGGTCTATGACTTCTCATCTCAATGTTACAAATATTTTCCTAAATAAAAATGTCTTCTGTAAATGAGAATAAAGTGTTCTCTGGAAAAGAAAGAATGGTTTGGGTGCCACAGTAACGTCATTGGAGTTATCTTGTATCTTCAGTGGGAACCTGTAAAAACAGATTAATAAATGAAAAGTTGAATAACTGATTAGAAACTTATCAGAGTTCATGAACATTATTAACATACTTTATGTAAGTGATTATCTGTTTCTGACAAAGGTGAAACTTACTTTTTTATTTTATGCTACTTTATACTTCTATTCCCTTTACAGGGGACTCAACCCCTAAACTGGGAACCACTGGACCAGAGTACCTAACTGTATATAAAGCAGTAAAAACTAGCTCCACCTGTAATATTATAGCACTTACAGGGGACATTTTTTGTTATAACGAATACCCTTACTTTTGATACTTGAATTACATTGTGCTGATAACACTGTTAGACTTTTGAATGCAGGACTTTCACTTTAACAGAGTATTGTCACATTGTTGTGTTGGTACATGTACTTAAGTAAAGGATCTGAATACTTCTTCCACTTTTGATTTCTGGAGTAGTATCATAAAACCCCAGAGCCATCTGCTTCCTGTAGTTATAATGGATGGACTGAGAAAATTCTTTCTCATGCAGAACTTTTTTTTTAATTAGAAACATCAGCTGTGTGTGAAATACAGCAAGAATATTGTACATTATGTCAGTGAACATAATATGTGCACAGCCTTGTTGAAACAATGACATACTCACTGTGATCAGTCAGGAGCTGAATTTCTGTCCGACAGCGATGCTGAAGAGTCTGAAGCTAGAAGCAGAAATTAAGTTCAGAGATAATTCAATTGGAAATTATATAATTATATGTGAGAGACTGGACTGGACATGATTTATTGATTGCTAATGCTCAGCAAATAAAATTATTCAATAGAACAAATATATAAATGTATATATTGTATAAAGCCAAACTTACTGTTTGCAGGTCTAAATTCTAAAATACAGAAGAGACATTACAGTATTAGAAGTTAATCAGAATGTATGACAGGACACAAAATAAAACACATTTATAGGAAGAAATTTCTCATGAATATCACGGATCTCTGCTCTGAATAACAAGGAAGGAGAGCAAATCTTTCACTCAGTTTATATAGTAATTCATTCTCCAGATGAAGAGTCCAGTGATGCAGAGTGCCAGCAGCAGCAGTCCTACAACAACTCCAATAACAGCACCAGCAGGAAACTCTGAGGGAGAAACTGGAGCCAAAACAGAACATTCACACTTTGTCTCTCCCACTGGAAGGAGATAAATATGTTTAGTTTACAGAATTCAGTTGGTCCTGATCTCTGCTTTGTCCAGTTTGATGACGATGTCATTCTTCACACCAGAGAGCTGAAACACACAGTCGTACCTCCTCCAGTCTTCAGGTGTGACTGATGAAAGGTTCAGGTCAACACTCATCTGGAAGGATCCATCTCTCCGTGGTCCACGTCCTCATGAAGCTCCTCTCCATCTTTCCTCCAGATGAGTGTGGCACTGTCAGGGTAGAAACCTGTAGCGTGGCAGCTGACTGGAGAGGAGGAAGTCTTCTGGAGGAGAGACACTGAGGGAAGGTCTGCAGAGAGAGAGAGAGAGAGAGAGAGAGAGAGAGAGAGAGAGAGAGAGAGAGAGAGAGAGAGAGAGAGAGAGAGAGAGACGGAGAATGTGGGAAAGAGAGACAGAAAGAAAAAGGCCCTGATAACAACCACCACATTGTCTCTATATAGACAAATGAGAGAACCACTGAAGAAACTCACTCCAGTCAGAGAAGAAGGATCTGCCTTTGTGGTTCACAGCAAAGTACTCAAACACAGTGTCAATATTCAGTGGAACTATTTCTATTTTGAAACTCTGTAAACTGATTTAAGTCATACTAAAACACTGACTTTCACAGTATCAGCTTTGATTGAAAGTAACCTCAGAGCACCCAAAAATGTCTCTACTGACTGGTTAGGACTAAATCAAATCTTACTGCACAGAAAACTGCCATAAGGTAATGTCACACTGATTGGAGTAATAATAATAATACAATGGCAGTTCAGTCTGAGCAGATTATAGGAACATTGTTGAGTTCATTAAACTAAATCAGGTCATGTGATTCTACCTTTTTGATCGGTTAGATCCCATTATCCCATCTCAGTTTGGTGTTGACAGCCTGAGGTTTCGGAGCGATCCATGTCAATGTCTTCAGGTCAAAAGATATGAAGTCTTCTCCATCATAACCATACTGATTAAAACCATTAACCTCTCCAGTCTCATCATCCCACTCACAGCCAGTCATCCTCTGTAAAACATGGGTACCTGAGAGAGAGACAGAAACAGAGACTGTAATTAACAACGATGTACAGATGAAGATGATCTTACAGATATTGGGCAGTGTGTGATGCACTTCTATTTTCATCTTCATCTCGTGGTGTGTTCATGATTCAAGAGCAGATAAGTGTACTTTTTCTTTATATGAGTGATGAAACCCAATTTCTGTTACACATTCTTTTCTTTTGTCGACCATGAACTACAACATCCCTGGTCGGGCCAGCTGAGGACTTTTGTTGTGTCTGTCTCCCCCTCATTTTCCTTATTCCCTTAACTGCTGCTTTCTAATAAAGGCATACAATTAAAATAAAATGTCACCTGCTAAAACACCTGCAGCATTGGATGCAGTTGAGTGACCACATAAGACTGACCAGGAACTCATTGAAACATAGTTATTGTGTAACTTCTATTACTAACTGGGAAAGGTGGGAAGCTGCCAAACTTCAGGGAGTCTGAAAGCTCCGGGCTTATTGCAACCCTTGTTGTGTCATCTAGTAGTAAAAGGCCTTTTAGAGCCAGGTATGACGGTTGCTTTCTACTGACTGCAAAACTTTAGTGTTTGATGAGAAACACCTGACCTGCTAATGTTTAGCAAACATCATAAAAATTGACAACTTTCATTAGTCTAGAGAGGTGGATAAAGTTAGTTCCAAATGTTCCAGATACAATATCAGAATCTTACGTAGTTAGTATGTTATTATTACAACACAAAACTCGAGTGTGAAGGTGTGATTCTTGGACTGAAACCTGTACAGATGGATGTTAAGCCCCTTCAGTCAAATTATTTAAAGAAATCAATGAAGAAAATGAAGGCTGTACTTTTCCTGTGTGTGTTTGTAATTGTTAGGATATTTTGACTATAGATGGATGTTTTGAATTTCTCAGTATGATGAGTAGTTTGTGTTGGACAGAGCAAACAAGTCTAACCAGGACCTGAGTTATGGATTACATGCTGACTGGCAGCTAGTGGTTCCAGGTTTTCAAAGCAATGTGATGGCGGTCTATTTACTTTACAACTAAGATGCTGATGAAACGTGACACAAGAGAATCAACAAAAAGACGTTTTTCATTGTGTTTTTGGTTAAGACTTGTGGGTAAAGAACGAGCTGGGTCCACTGTGGTTTCTACTGTAATGTGAGCCACAGAGTGCTGAACCGTGGTAAAGGGAGCCACTGTCAGAGTGTTTATTACGGTAGGCGAGGCCTAAAAGAAACATACACGCGTTTTTCTGTCAAGTCCCAAACTATATGTACAATTTGGACTTATTTTACTGTTTGTTTGTTTGTTTGCTTAGATAATTAAGGGAAATTTTCCTCATATGAGTTCCTCATATTGGGACCTAAAGTACATTAGTAAAGTACATTCATATTTGATGTCAGTAACAATATTTATTATCTAGGCTTTTTGGACAATGTATTTATGAATTATTTTACTGTAACATATCACACAAACTGCTACATTTAATGCAGCACTTGAAGAACAGTGTTACAAATGTAATGATAACACACAGGCTTCTTCATCTATCTGTGACAAACTGGTGAAAATACAGCCTCTCTTTTTATCACTCTCAACGACACCACCTCCCTCAACAAATGCTAGTTTCCCCTTCAACCATCGTTCCCTTTATGCTACTTCCAAAACAACAACAACGACAAAAATCAGTGAGTCATAAAAAAAGTCAAATATTAAAATAAAAAAATTACTTTTTTTATTGTTGTAGAAAAATGGAAAATAAAAGGTAAATATAATTCTTAATTGCATAATAATAATTGAAAGATCTAAAGAAGGTTTTTATCATCATTACACATACACATTTATGTGTACAGATAAACACATTTGATTTCAACCTTCATTTATTTTCATTTATTTATTTATTTTCATCATGCCCAGTATTCATGTGAAATGATGTCTCTACCTATCATCAAGCCCTACAGTGGGTATCAGACTGTACCGTCATAACTGACCGCACTGACTGCATCTCTAACCCGACCTAACCTAAGCTGCCTTTAAATCCTTCATTCACTCAAGCAAACAGCAGATACTTTGCTGTATAACATGGCTTTATATCTACATTGTGTCTGCTCAGGCTAAACTGCAACTTCATGTGAATGCAATGGCCCGCTCAGCAGTCCCACCACCATCACTGTCTATCTATTTACACTAGTCTTACTAAAAGCTACTTGTTTGAAAAACCTGTGGTATGAGAAAGTTTTCCTCTGACCTGTCGCACCAAATAAAAAAATATATATATATATCATCTTTTCAACAAGAGGTGATTTTCACAATTGTATACAGTGTTTACAGAAACCTATAGTTATTGTAGTTATTCTAAAACCATAAAATATTATTCAAACATGATCAAAAACAGTAATTTAAGGAATTTAATTGAAAACATTATTGCATCAATGTAAAATGAAGGGTAAAGGAAATAGAATTGATTTGTGAAAATAATCAAGCAAATTGTTTTTAAATTAGATTTAGAACATTAATTATAGATTTCTATTGTTAAATAAACGATTACATTTAACATTTACATATACATATAAAAGCCATAAACTACTACATCACTTTGTGACAGGAAGGCATGTTTTAGTCAGTTTAAGTTCTGTAAAGCTAAATAAAGTGACACGTGTTATATGAAGGAACTTCATTGAGTGTGTTTCACAATCAGGTCTCTGGATTCAGTTTCTCAGAGAGCTCTGATCCGTCGTCAGGAGCTGTAAGGTCAGAAACAAACAGTGTCAAACAGTGAAAGTCCAAAGTTCATCTGCACAATAATGTGAAACCCTGTTTAATCTACAGCATAAAGTGTGTGTGTGTCAGATCAGTTGAAAAAAAATAAAAGCAGGTTTTACTTACGAGATGGAGGGCATTTGGCTGAAATCAAAACGAAAGACAAATCATTTCTTTACCTTATCCCCAGTGAATATGATCTTCTCTTCTACTCACTAAAACTACTCATCACTTCTCTCCCACATCATCTTGGTAAGGTCAAATTATCATGACTCACAGGCTCTGAGCCTGACACTGCTTACTGTTGGTTGCTTTAAATTCTGTGGTGCAGGGAACTGATGCTTGTTTCTGTTGTGCAACCTGGATAAAAGCATCAACTCAAAGACTAAAATATACTGAACTGAAATCTTTCCATTTTCTCTCTCACCTTTCTTCTTTTTGTAAGCCATGAGTCCAACTGCAGTGATGAGGATGAGAACAAGAACAACTGCTGCAGCAGTGATGGGCACGGTCATGTCACTGGACTTCTCTGTTGAACAAGAGAGCAACCAAATAAAAACAAGACCAGTACAGATAAAGGACAGAAGTACATCCATCCATTCAACAGTTGATTCATACATAGCTATGTATGGGTTTGCACTAGTATAGTATAAGATGCATAGACTAGAGTATTGATATTGTTATTGATCGTCCTGGGTTCCCGTAACGGTATAAACTTAATAAGGAACCAATAACCAATTTCTAATGTTTCTAAAAAAACTGATTTTCTAAAAATTGGTTCAGAATTTAGCAGTGCCTGAATTGTACAGAAAAAAGTTCCAGTGCCCTAATGCTGCACAACCCTAACCCTGATTCTTCTGGCCTTTTTATCCTTTTCAATAAAGGATATTTTCAGTGCTGTTTGTCAACATTTTCAGTTACTGTATTGTGATATAAAGTTATAATTCCTTATACTGCGATAGAGGATTTTGGCTATATCGCCCACCATTACTGTGAGTCACCACAACCACGAGAGGTCCTTGAGCACACAGTCATACATGTGTACAAAAAATATGAGGCTGAGGTCCACTAGAATGCGAGGTTAGCTGTAGATAGATACAAACACAAACAACCAACAGGCATGCAGTCCCATTCAGCACACTCTAATGTCGGTCTTACCCCAGTTGGTCCTGATCTCTGCTTTGTCCAGTTTGGTGACGATGTCGTTCTTCACACCAGAGAGCTGAAACACACAGTCGTACCTCCTCCAGTCTTCAGGTGGGACTGATGGAAGTTTCAGGTCAACACTCATCTGGAAGGATCCATCATGGTTGGGGAGGATCTCTCCGTGGTCCACGTCCTCATGAAGCTCCTCTCCATCTTTCCTCCAGATGAGTGTGGCACTGTCAGGGTAGAAACCTGTAGCGTGGCAGCTGACTGGAGAGGAGGGAGTCTTCTGGAGGAGAGACACTAAGGGAAGCTCTGGAGAGAGAGAGAGAGAGAGAGAGAGAGAGAGAGAGAGAGAGAGAGAGAGAGAGAATGTGAGAAAGAGAGAATGTGAGAAAGAGAGAATGTGAGAAAGAGAGATAGAAAGAAAGCCCCTCATAACAACCACCACATTGTCTCTATATAGACAAATGAGAGAACCACTGAAGAAACTCACTCCAGTCAGAGAAGAAGGATCTGCCTTTGTGGTTCACAGCAAAGTACTCAAACACAGCGTCAATATTCAGTGGAACTATTTCTATTTTGAAACAATGAAACTCTGTAAACTGATTTAAGTCATACTAAAACACTGACTGTCACAGTATCAGCTTTGATTGAAAGTAACCTCAGAACACCCAAAAATGTCTCTACTGACTGGTTAGGACTAAATCAAATCTTACTGCACAGGAAACTGTCATAAGGTAATGTCACACTGATTGGAGTAATAATAATAATACAATGGTAGTTCAGTCTGAGCAGATTATAGGAACATTGTTGAGTTCATAAAACTAAATCAGGTCATGTGATTCTACCTTTTCTCTGCAGAGAGCTGTTGCCGAAGACCAAATACTTCTTCAGGAACACAGGGAAAAGCTCAGTGAGGTAATTCTTATTGTATTTTATTCTAGCCTTCTCAGCATCCCATCTCAGTTTGGTGTTGACAGCCTGAGGTTTCGGAGCAATCCATGTCAATGTCTGCAGGTCAAAAGATATGAAGTCTTCTCCATCATAACCATACTGATTTAAACCATTAACCTCTCCAGTCTCATCATCCCACTCACATCCACTCATCCTCTGTAAAACATGGGCACCTGAGAGAGAGACAGAGACAGAGACTGTAATTAACAACGATGTACAGATGAAGATGATCTCACAGATATTGGGCAGTGTGTGATGCACTTCTATTTTCATCTTCATCTCGTGGTGTGTTCATGATTCAAAAGCAGATAAGTGTACTTCTTCTTTATATGAGTGATGAAACCCAATTTCTGTTACACATTCTTTTCTTTTGTCGACCATGAACTACAACATCCCTGGTCGGGCCAGCTGGAGACTTTTGTTGTGTCTGTCTCCCTCTCATTTTCCTTATTCCCTTAACTGCTGCTTTCTAATGAAGGCATACAATTAAAATAAAAGTGTCACCTGCTAAAACACCTGCAGCATTGGATGCAGTTGAGTGACCACACAAGACTGACCAGGAACTCATTGAAACATAGTTATTGTGTAACTTCTATTACTAACTGGGAAAGGTGGGAAGCTGCCAAACTTCAGGGAGCCTGAAAGCTCCGGGCTTATTGCAACCCTTGTTGTGTCATCTAGTAGTAAAAGACCTTTTAGAGCCAGGTATGACGGTTGCTTTCTACTGACTGCAAAACTTTAGTGTTTGATGAGAAACACCTGACCTGCTAATGTTCAACAAACATTATAAAAACTTTGCATTTTCTAATTCAGTGTAAAGATTTAGTTTTTATTATTATAATTTAGATTTTGTGCTATGAAAGTTATATTTTGTGTGTGATGACAGCTTTCATTAGTCTAGAGAGGTGGATAAAGTTAGTTCCAAATGTTCCAGATACAATATCAGAATCTTACGTAGTTAGTATATTATTATCACAACACAAAACTTGAGTGTTAAGGTGTGATTCTTAGACTGAAACCTGTACAGATGGATGAAGAAAATAAAGGCTGTACTGAGTAGTTTGTGTTGGACAGAGCAAACAAGTCTAACCAGTTCTGAGTTATGGATTACATGATGACTGGCAGCTAGTGGTTCCAGGTTTTCAAAGCAATGTGATGGCGGTCTATTTACTTTACAACTAAGATGCAGAACAGTTTAACAGTAAACAGTGAAATATAACATAGTGGGCTGCATACTGTACCTCCACTTTGGTTGAAGCGCTGCTTCAAATTATCAAGTGTGGTTTTAAAGAAGTGCGGCTCATACTCTGAACACTTTGTAGTGTACCACTGCAAGTGCTGAGGATCATCTTCAAATAATTTGTTCACCCAGTCCTGTTTTGGTTCTACTATCTTTTTGTTGTTGTCGCAGTAACCGGCCAAAATCTCATCAACCACTACAGCAACCACAAACTCTGGGAAGTCTGGGACTCCAGAAGATGCAGTGAAGATAAACTTCAGGGAGTGTTTTACTGCAGGAAAAACAAGGTTTAAAACATTTATACACACACATATTTTAAATATGATGCAGGCTATTCAGCATGATTCACATTCCCAACATACAGTCTCATCAAGTTGAAGTAAAACTGAAACTAAATTCTTGTTTGTCTTTAGCAAAATGCAATAAAAATAAATATTTTAAATGTGATCTTACCTGCTGGTGAAACGTGACACAAGAGAAGCAACAAAAAGACGTTTTTCATTGTGTTTTTGGTTAAGACTTGTGGGTAAAGAGCGAGCTGGGTCCGCTGTGGTTTCTACTGTAATGTGAGCCACAGAGTGCTGAACTGTGGTAAAGGGAGCTGCTGTTAGAGTGTTTATTACGGTAGGCGTGGCCTAAAAGAAACATACACGCGTTTTATATATATGTACAATTTGGACTTATTTTACTGTACTGGTTGGTTGGTTGTTTGTTAGTTTGTTAAGATAATTAAGGGACATTTTTATTTTACTAATCATGAGTTCCTCATATTGAACCTAAACTACATCAGTAAAGTACATTCATATTTTATATCAGTAAACAGTATTTCAAATGTAATGATAACACACAGGCTTATGGGACTTTTATTGCACACCTATGAGACTAAAAGCATTAAAATCAGAGAGGTGTTGTGGTGCTTTGGCTCCAGTCGTGAAGGGCTGCTGTTGCCACCAGATGTCACTGTGCTGCTGCATTTGAAGCCCCAAAGCTCCAGACAGCTTCATCCACCTCTCATTAGTTGTGACTTAACTAAGAACGAGTGATATGTATTGGAGCAAGAGCATCCATTACTAATGATCTTAAAACAATCTATTTGTGACAAACTGGTGAAAATACAGCCTCTCTTTTTATCACTCTCAAAGACACCACCTCCCTCAACAAATGCTAGTTTCCCCTTCAACCATCGTCCCCTGTATGCTACTTCCAACAACAACAACAACAACAAAAAACAGTCATAAATTCATAAAAAAAGTATTAAAATAAAAGTGATTATTCATTTGTATGATGAATTGTGGAAGAATTCAACAGCCTCACTGCCTGAGGGAAGAAGCTGCTCTGCAGTCTGGTGGTCCGGCAGCAGAAGCTTCTGTACCTCTTCCCAGATGGCAGCAGGGTGTGTCTGGGGTGGGTGCTGTCTTTTAGTATCCTTTGGGCTCTGTGCAGGCATCTCACCTCAGCAGTATCACTGATGCTGGGCAGCTGAGTACCAATGATCTTCTGGGTGGTTTTAATCACCCGCTGCAGTGTCCAGAGTGCTGAGTTGACCGAGGGAGAATGTGTTGTTGAATGCTGAGCTGAAGTCATCCTACACCACAAACTGTACAGTGATATCACTCTTCACAGCTGTCAGTCCTATAAACTGGCATCAGGACATGTGTGCTCACATCAACCGTGGACTAAAGAAAACTCGCTGTGCATAACTGATCATAAAGTTCCAAGAAAACATCCACCGTCAACATGTTTCACACTACGTACAAAGTGAATGTCACATATAAATGGAAATAGTCTCAAACACAAGGTTTAACATACTTTAAAGATTTCAATAAAAGCTTTAATTACAGTTGAAAATAATATACAAGCAGAATATTTATAATAAGTTTTGATCGTTTTTATATTTGGAAGAAGGAGTTATGAATGAATGGATTATTCTGAGCAAACAGGACTTTGTCTCTGGAAAGATGAAAATTAGTTTAAAATGTATTCAATATTTGAACACACCTTATCGTATTTGAGTGTAAGGCAAATTCTGATATCACAAATGCAAATGCAAACACATCTACCTGAATGGTTTGATATCATTAGAGGTAATTTTGTGAACCACAAACCTGAAGAGATGGAGAGAATAATCACATAAAACAGAATTAACTTCATCAGAAATATTTGGAAAGTTCAATTCAACGAAGGTTATAACACTGTATCAGTACCTGAGGATTCTGATTTCAATGAGATCTAAAATATTCACAATCTTTTAACAGATGGCTGCTTTTAAAGGAATATTTTTTCACTTTTGTCAGATATTTTCTTTGCAGCTATAAAGTGATTCAGAGGTTTTACAGTGAACGACAAAACAATATCAAACTGCTTTAACTGGAGGTGTTAGGTTCTCTGTTTTGTTGTCCCACATGATGTCACTGTGTGCAGGGTGGTGTGTTTGCTCGTGATGTTTCTGGATTCAGTTTCTCAGAGAGCTCAGAGCTGTTTTCAGGAGGTGCAAGGTCAGAAACACACTGTTAGTCCTCTTCTCCTGCACTGAACTACCTCAGCTCACAATGTAAAGAACGTGTCAGAGACAAAAAAAAAACAAGTTCTACTTACGACGTGGAGGGTGATTGGCTGAAATAAGAAGAAAAGATCAGAAGAGTTTAAAATGCCAGAAAACCTTTTGTCTCATTTTCCCTTCTGAATGTAATTCTTTCATATAAAGTGAAACTCTTTAGATTCATATGTTATTAAAGGTTTCAACTCGGCTCATTCTAGTCTCTCACCTTTCTTCTTTTTGTAAACGATGAATCCAATCGCAGCAATGAGGACGACAGCAAGAACAACCACTGTAGCAGTAATCAGGATGGTGATGTTACTGGGCTCCTCTGCTCAGCAAAAAACAACACAAATAAACCAAAATGATCACAACATGTGAAGATGAAGCAGGTTAGAAAAGATCTATCCATCTGTTCATCACACATTCACATTGTGAATAGAGTATAATACAGTAGTCACTGGTGTGTGTGAGCAGAAATATACAGCATTTAAAGGACACAGCTTACTTCATGAATCTCCTCTCCATCTTTCCTCCAGATGAGTGTGGCACTGTCAGGGTAGAAACCTGTAGCGTGGCAGCTGACTGGAGAGGAGGGAGTCTTCTGGAGGAGAGACACTGAGGGAGGTTCTGGAGAGAGAGAGAGAGAGAGAGAGAGAGAGAGAGAGAGAGAGAGAGAGAGAGAGAGAGAGAGAGAGAGGAATGGAAAAGTGTTAGAGAAAGATGAAAAGGGAGAAGGGAGAACAGGGAAGGGAATAAAACAAGGGAATAGACAGATGAAGAAATTCAAGAGGGAGGAATCAAGATGAGTGAAAGAGAAAATGGGACAGAGATAAGCAATGAAAGACACACTGTATCTGTCTGCATTATGAGTGGATGGTCCTGTATTTGTACAGCGCCTTTCTAGTCTTCCGACCACTCAAAGCGCTTTAACACCACGTGCCACATTCACCCTTTCACACACATTCACTCAGTGATGGTAAAGCCCATCAAACGGAAACCTCGGGAGCAATTCGGGGTTCAGTACCTTGCTCAAGGACACGCTGACATGTGGTGGGAGGAGCCGGGGATCAAATCAACAACCTTCTGATTAGTGGATGACCCACTCTTCTTCTAAGCCACAGCCGCCCAACCAGAAAAATGTTACCCTGATGGTGGTAGAAGATAAGCAGTAATCCACCTCAGGTATGTTAAGCAGCCTAAAATAGTAGTACTGTTAAAATCCTAATGATACCCATCCATACAATCTGTGTAAACTTACTTACCTCATGTCTGGCTATCACAGTATCAGCTTTGATGGAAAGTAATGTAGAGCACCTACAACTGTCAGTCTCTGATTGGTCAGGGCTAAATCAAATAATACCTTCAACAGCCAAAAATAAGATAACGTCAAACTGATTGGAGTAATAATACAATGGCAGTTCAGTCTGAGCAGATTTTAGGAACATTGTTGGGACTCATTATCACAGAATCAGGGGCTATTTCACTGAAGCCAGAATGCCCCTGCGTATGAAAAATCCAACATGGGATGATGATGACAACCAAGGATATCAGGACTCAATAACAGCACTCTGCACAGAGATTCAGACCACGTTCCCAGTTCCACAAGACATGACCACTCTGGAACTGATGAATCAGGGCTCAGACGAGGCTGTGGGCGTATTCCTGGCGCGCCTCACTACTGCCTTTGACTGTCATAGCGGCATGCAGCGCCCAAATACAATGGGAGGCTCCCCACTCACAGCTTATGAATCAGACTTGAAAAGCCTTTTTCTAAGCAGAATGCACCCCTCACTGGCAGATGCCTGTCGCCACTCCTGCATCACCTGGAAATCCTGCAGCTTGGCAGATATTTTGCAACATGCTGAGCATGAAGAAGACATTCAAAAACGTCAGGACGCGCTAAAAAAGAAGAAGAAACAGGAGAAACTGGACAAGGCCCAGCTGACTATGTACAATGCAATGACGAGTGAAGAACAGTAGAACTGTTAGAGAACAAACCACGTGGTTCATCTGTGTACTGTTAAGAAAATTAGGGATGAGGATCAGCCAACAGAATGTCGTTTTGTACAAGATTTACAAGCAGTAAATGCTGCAGTGCATCCGCGCACGCCTGAAGTTTCTAACCCACATACCATTCTGTATCTCATCCCACCAGACGCAACTCATTTTTCGGTTGTTGATTTGGCCAGTGCATTTTTCTCCGTACCCGTCCATCCTGAAAGTCAATATTGGTTTGCATTCACCTTTCAGGGGCGTAGCTACACCTGAACCAGATGTGCATAAGGGTACTCGGAAAGTCCAACGTATTTTCATCAGCAGCTGAGCCTAAATTTGCAAAATTTAGAATTTCCATCAGGTTCTGTCTTATTAGCTCGTGTAGACGACCTTAGGGTGGACAGCCCCTCAGAGGAGGCATGCAAAACAGACACGGTTGCACTATTAACACTTCTGGCTAACAGCGGTCACAAAGCCAGCTTGTCTAAATTGCAGTTTGTTCAGACAAAAGTAACATACCTGGGACATGTGATCACAGCAGAGGGCAAATCCCTCTCTCCCAAACGAATTGCAGGATCCCTAATTATTCAGAGCGAGAGGCACCCCTCTCAGCTACGGTCCATGGCAAAAAATTGACAGCTCATGGCAAAATTACATGGACCCCAGAAGCAGAAAAGGCCTTTGTAGATTTGAAAAGTGCACTCATAAATGCTCCAACACTTGGCTTACCAAATCCAAATAAGCCATTTGTATAGTTCATTGATCAAAAGGGTGGATATGCCACTTCTGTCCTCTGCCAGAAACATGGAGATAAACTCAGACCTGTTGCTTATTTCTCTACAAAGCTGGATCCAGAAGCAACAACAACCCTCCCTGCCTTAGAGCTGTAGCAGCTGCAGAGAAGGCAGTGATAGCCTCTAGAGATTTAGTAGGCTATTCTGAGCTCATACTTATGGTACCACACGCTATAGCTCACATTTTGCACACACAAGATGCTGTCTGCGCAGATAACACACCACATTGTTGGAAATGCCTAATGTCACTGTCAAACGATGTTCTACTCTAAATCCTGCTTCTCTCCTCCCAACACAGGAAGATGGCGATGACTCAGAAAACTTTCATGACTGTGTGCAGATTCTGGAGGAAGAGTGTTCACCAAGGGTCGATCTGTCAGACACACCTCTCCCAAACGCTGACCTCGAGTTGTTTGTAGATGGTTCTGCATCAAGAGACAAAACAGGCGTCAACCAAACATTTTGCTGTTGTCACTCTGCATGCAATTGTAGCATCAGGCAAATTACCATCTAATTTTTCAGCACAAGCTGCAGAGCTAGTAACGCTCAACAAACCATGCAAACACGCTGAGGGCAAAATAGTGAACATCTACACAGACTCTCATTATGCGTTTGGGGTGGTTCATGACTTTGGCGCCCTTTGGTGACACAGAGGTCTCCTCACCTCCTCTGGAAAACCTGTAGCTAATCACCACCTTGTTTCTGATCTTTTGGGTGCTATAATGTTGCCAGCAACAGTATCTGTGATGAAATGTGATGCTCACACTAATAACTCTGATCCTGTGTCTGTAGGAAATGCTGCTGCAGATGCAGCAGCAAAGGCTGCTGCTGTGAAAAGTGACATGTTTCACATCCTCTTTTCCTCCTCACAGCCTGACGTTAACCCATGTGCTGATCTCCCCACCATCCAACAACTGGCTACCGCCGCAGAGAAGGCGCAATGGTCAATGGTTCGGGCCTGATTTAAAACCATGTTGCCACATGCCCTCTTTCCATTCTATGCTAAACTAGCACATGGAAAGGACCATGTGGGCAAAGGGGGAATGAGTATAGCCATAAATGCTAACTGGTATACCAGAGGGTTTTCAACTTTTGCCTCTGATTACTGTAAAAGGTGTGTCACATGTGCAGCACACAATGCTGCGGGAGCTCCTAAGGTTATGCAGCACGGTCATGCTCTTCCCCAAGGCCCTTTTCAATACTGGATGATGGATTTCATAGAACTCTCACCATGTGAAGGAAAGAAATATTGTTTGGTGTTGGTCGACATGTTCAGCAAATGGGTTGAAGTTTTTCCTTCCTCCAAAAAGGATGATTAACTTTGGATATCATTAATTTTTGTACCTTTTGCTGTTGCTCAGAGATGCCTATGTCTTCATTTTGTTATGAGATGTTTTCCCTAACGGGACTGATGACTTGGTATCTTAAATCTTGACTTGATATCACCAATGTTTAATTACCTGTGAGTTGTATAACCTTTAGCAGCATATGTTACTTTGATTACTATTGTCACTCTTTCACTAATGTTTATCACAACATTTAAAATGTTATTGCCAGTCACGACCAAAAATCTTTTATTTTTCTCTACTACTTAAGTGATCAGGTATGATCAAAAGAGGGGAGATGTAGAGGAAAAAATATCATTTAGTAAATAACCTTTGTATGAACTGTGATTTACTGTATTATACTGTTCTGTACACAGCATGACCAACTTTATTTCCTGTTGAACTGTACCCGACCTGATTACTATAAATGAATCAAATGAGGCATGACATGATGATAGGTTGAAGTATAGTCCAGCCTACACATGTCATGCTGACATGCACTGGATGAATACAATAAACACCTGTGTAATGTAAGGTTGGAACATAGCCTGCTCTGGTTGAAATACAGCCAGGCCCGAAAATCTAAACTTTTATCCATTTTTGGTCTAAGACGGAAGCGGGCCTTTGCGGCCTTTATCTAATTGGTAGCGAGGTACTCAGCATCGATTCCTCGGCAGACGCTGACTGTCACTTTGTTGATGTCGATCCTTCTGCACAGAAGCTGAATAAATATACAAAGACAAATTTCTCTTTGTTTGGTTTTCCTTTATTTTCGGTCAAACTTCCACCACACAATCTTTTAGCCACTTCCCACATAATAATAGCAGTAATGAAATGACTGTTCAGTACTGTTCCTCCTTTGTGGATGGACATCAGTCAAAGTGAACGTTGGGCCATTTCCATGTTAGCAGATTGGAACCCTGAAACACAAATGAAAGATTAGTATTATTATTATTATTATGCTCAGAATTTCAATATATAAAGTGCTATATCGAGCCCTATCACTGGAGATGTCAGAAATGTCATTTAAGACTATCAGAGGCACGTAATTAAAGAGGAAAGTAAAACTTGCATTGTTATGAAAATATTGTTCCTCACTATTATTTTTTCTTCTCCAGATGAAGAATCCACTGATGCCGACTGCCAACAGAAGCAGTACTACAGCAGATTTGATTAATAAAATACCAACTTGGGAAAGAAAACCTGGAAGTGAAACAACAGAACATTTACACTTGCATTGTTTGAATCTCAACAAGCCATGCTGTCTGGTTCTGAGGGTGGATATTGTTCTCTGTGTGAACTTTAAAGGATAGGTTCAGATTACATACAGATACATTACAGATATTATACTAGGTCCAAACTACAAACCACAGTCTGATTACTATTGAGATTTTTACATACAATACACTTACAAATTATTACAATTAACATGTGTATTGCATTTGAATCACAATTTATATGATATACAAAAAACAAACTGCTTGTTGTTCTTCAGTGCCACTGCAATTACAGAGTTACAGCTGACTGCATTATTAAAGGATCATTGTTAGATGCACAGTATGTGAGGGAGAACTGCTTGTAATAGAAGGTTTAAGACAGCTATCTGATCAATCCTAGGTTAGGGATTACAATTTAAAGATCAATGCTGATATAATTAACCTCTGTAGTTATTATCCAGGTCTTTTTTTAATGGACAACATAACTGATACCAGTCTTACCCCATAGAGAACTGCTTGTAATAGAAGGTTTAAGACAGCTAGACAAGACAAAGTGCTAAGCTTAGAACAGGTCGGATAGATGAGAGGAAGTAACACAGCAGTGTAGCACAAGACAAGAGGAAGTAAGACCATTGCTTAGCACAGCTGTGTGGCACTAACAACAGAATAAGGAGAAGTTTTACAGCTACTGTTGGGTCAAAGAAGTGTGCAGAAATGCAATTGCTCCTATTATCGTATGGAAAGAACATGTAACTAGTGTAGCTGTAAGTATAAAGTAAGATTGTATGATCTTGTCCAGGCAGTCCAGAGGAATCCAGATAACCAGGAAGAGTAGGCAGAATTCTTAACACACCCATAAAAAGATGGCCCAGTGCAATGCATAGTGCGCCAAAGGAAACCACAGTTTCTGTTTAAACCAGAGTGAGAACACATCACAACAGTTTACCACAGTGACAGTAGAGAAAGTGAATTCTATGGGAATTAAAAAATCTCAATGTTACTGACAAACCTGAAGAAATGAAGACGGTCACATCAGGTCAACAAAAGTTAAATGCATGTGCAGCATATCGAGTAAAATAAACTAAATGTGGATTCTCACCGTCAATACTTCTGATCCCAGTCTTGCCCCAATTGGTCCTGATCTCTGCTTTGTCCAGTTTGGTGACGATGTCGTTCTTCTCACCAAAGAGCTGAAACACACAGTCGTACCTCCTCCAGTCTTCAGGTGTGACTGATGAATGAAGGTTCAGGTCAACACTCATCTGGAAGGATCCATCGTGGTTGAGGAGGATCTCTCCGTGGTCCACGTCCTCATGAAGCTCCACTCCATCTTTCCTCCAGATGAGTGTGGCACTGTCAGGGTAGAAACCTGTAGCATGGCAGCTGACTGGAGAGGAGGGAGTCTTCTGGAGGAGAGACACTGAGGGAAGCTCTGGAGAGTAAAGAGAGAGACAGTTTATAGACAGTATTTAGACTGTATTAACTTATATTAACATTAGAATTCCTGTAATGTATTTTAAAGGTTTTAGTAACAAACACACACTATATACAGGCATGCAACACTATACACCGATCAGCCATAATGAGAATAATTGTATAGCCATCACAATTTGGCCTTTGTCAAAGTCGCTCAAATCCTCACGCTGCCCATTTTTCCTGCTTCTAACACATCAACTTTAAGGACAAAATATTATATCCCTATATGCCTAAAATATCCCACCCACTGACAGGAGCCATGATAACCAGATAATCAGTGGCATTCACTTCACCTGTCAGTGCTCTATTGTTATGAAGTGTAATTGAGAAAAAGCGCGAAGGAGAGAGGGGGAAAAAGACAGATGAAGAGAGGTCAAATCGGGATTCCTGTGAGACAGACAAGAAACAAAGGGAGGAGTTGTAGTTGTGATGTTACTGTTGGTTAGAAACTGAAGAGAAAGATGAAGATTGTTGTGTCCATTAAACTACATCAGGTCATGTGATTCTACCTGTTCTCAGCAGAGAGCTCCTCCCATAGTCCACATACTTCTTCAACCAGTCAATGCAACTCCTGGATGAGGTAGTTCTTATAAAGTGCTATCTGAGCTCTGTTATTATCCCACTTGTGTTTGGTAATGACAGCCTGTGGAACTGGAGCGATCCATGTCTCTGTCTTCAGGTCAAAAGCTATGAAGTCTTCTCCATCATAACCCCACTGATCATAACCATTAACCTCTCCAGTCTCATCATCCCACTCACAGCCGTACATCCTCTGGACAATGTGGACCCCTGAGAGAGAGACAGACAGAAACAGTATTAAACCAGAGTGAGATCACAGCACAGTCTTCTATCATCAGTTGATATCACATCTTTACCACAGAGACACACTGATCCACAGACACCAACACAGAGGATCTACACCTCCTGCTGTTATTGGCTCGATGGAAGACACTCACAGACAATCATCATCTGGACTTCATAGTTGAATCTACGTGAATAAAACACACCTCACATGAAGAACTCAATGAAAAAAACAAACCTCCAGTTTGGTTGAAGCGCTGCTTCCCAGTTTCAATGTTGGCTTTGAAGGCCCGCTGTTTACCCAGAGAGGCCTGAGTCTGCCTCTCCCAGTACTGAGGATCCTCTGCTGTGACTCTGCTCATCCAGTCCTGTTTGGGTTTGTTTCTCCTGGTGTTACTGTCATAGTGATCTATCTGAACTTCATCAACCAACCCAACAGTAACAAACTCTGGGAAGTTTGGGACTCCAGAAGACCCAGTGAAGATATACTTCAGAGAGTGAGTCACTGTAAGAAAACATTAATGTAACATTTCAGTTTTATAAATCACTGAACAATGTTATTGTCCTGCAGACAGAATCAAAGAGAACTACAGTACATTCAAAACATCCTAATAATCTCTGTTGTGCAGTCAATAAACGCTATATATATATATATATATATATATATATATATATATATATACGTATATTTAGTTCCTGCAGTCATGTGTCTGACCTCCATTGACAGAAAGAACGTTTGTAAAAACAGTCATCCTTCTTTCTGGTGCTGATATCTCGATGTGAAGTGAAACTCCAGTTTAGTTTCCAGTTAGTGTTAGTCATTATCGTATTAGTTTGACTGACTCACCTGCTGCTGCGCCTTGTAGACTGATTCCCAGGAGAGCCAGAAACATCAGGGTCTTCATGCTGAATTCAGACATTTTGATATTCATACTGATAAAGAGTCACTGTGGTTCCAGTTCGAGCACCAAGGTTTAAGTGAAACAGAGTAGTTGGTAGTGTAGCAGTGGTCTGCAGGAAGGCGGTGCCGGATGATCTATACTACCGGTGCATGTCATTATGAATTATATGGTACCAATGTCCACTGAACAATTTCTAAACCTTACAGTATCCATGTAAATTGTTTAACATATTAATGTTAATTACAGTTGTTGATTTTAATCATTTAATATTCCTTTTAAACTAAAATCTAGTGTAAAATAAAAAAGCACTTCTTTGTGTGATGCTCCAACACTTTGAGATGAAATGATCCTGTAAATTATTTTAATCACACACACAATATCACAGCGCATTATACTGCGTCTCACTATGTAGGTCTATGTGCTACTCCGCCACACACAAACAGAACCACAGCTGAGGTTGAAACTGAAAGTAAAAGGATCTTATTTTAGCCTGTGTGGGCAGACATGTAGGCAGGGCTTTATTCTGGTGTTTCAACTTCATATGAAAGGAGAATTAAATCTTCTGCTGCTCAGATTGTGTACAATGTTTTGTAGGTTAATGTGATGTAATGTTCAGAAATGTGTTATTCTCTGGGAGGTCAGAGGTCACTGTCAGCTACAGATCAGACACTCTGCAGTTTGTGTGGATGCAGCAGTGTCTTATTGCTGTTTCAGAGCTCCCTCCAGTGATGTGGAGCAGTACAGTTTCTCAGTGTGGACTGTTATTATCTGTTATTTAAACACATCTGTGTGCAACAGACCATCTGGTTGTTAAATGAGATGGAGGGGAACAGTTCAGGTCTACTCACTGGTCTTGGCACAGAATAGGACGACTATCAGAACAGACGATATGATCAAACACAATAGTTTATGTAAAGGTTGAGGTGCAAGTAAAACTTCATTTTTATTGACTTAAAGTTAATATGCTGTTACAACAAAAGGCTGAAATAAAATGAGAGTGTATACTATTTGAAACATATCTGCAAATATGATCACACTAGAGCTCCATATACTACATCAATTTACATTGAAATAAGATAAACAACCCTAACCATCACCAATTCAAAATAGAATTTAGAAGACATTATCACACCCTTTCATTCTTCCTCCATCTCACCAAATACACTCACTTAACACTCACACTGAAGGTGTGAAAAAACTTCCTGACAACTTGTTTCTCTATAGCAAATGAATTTCTGCTTCAGTTTTCAAGTGTATGTTGCACTCCAGTGGAAGGTTACAGAAACACACATCTGGTCAGTGTGTAAGTGAAACAGACGATAACACGATAACCAAAGAAATTGTAGGAGTCAGAGTGGAACTGACAAAAAGGGATTTATTTACAGCTTACTGATGCTTGCAATCATACAACAGTATATAGAGAGGGTGGGACAAGGTGGCTGTGCTTAACAAATAGAAAAAAAATACTAACTACATACTAAATAACTACAAATATACAAAAGACTAATCCTGTATACCTCTAAAAAAACTAAAAGACAATCAAAATACTCAACTTATCTTAAAACAAATAAAAAAAAAAAACAATACACAGAGTGTAAGTGTAAGTATGAAAGTCTGCTCTCTATGTAAAATATAAAGTGTGTAAACTTACCTAAAGTCCTCAACCTCTCACCACATACCCTTTTCTATTAGTTTTAACAAGTTTGCTCACAGAGTGCAAAAACAAAAGCTGAGCAAAAGATTAATGTGCCGTGCTGAAAGTGTGATGGAACCAATGAGCAGCAAGAGCAGACTGCACAGGTGGAAGCACACTGAACACACTGAAATACAGCAAAACAAGCACAAATGGAAACAAACCAAGAAATGTTCTAAGAGTTTCAAAGATTTTCTTTTCTTGTTGCTCAAAAGTGAATAAATAAATAAATAAAAAATGTCACATCAGTGAATGAATAACAATTATTGATTGTCTGTATAGAAGCCAAATTCACATTGTGCTCAAAGACAACAACCCTATTTCCAGTTAGGGTGAGTTATTACATTATCATTATGACTCTTAAATAATGTTAAACCAGTGAATCCAGTACACCCCAAACATTATTTTACAGTTTGTTGTTTGTTTGTTAATACTGATACTATGTGTTTATCAAAAATATCTGACTAAATATTAAATATGGTAAGTATGACCTCAACACATGAGCACATGGCAGAGACAAGGATGTGAGGTTTGGTCTTAAATAAGATTGTTAGGACAGGACGGCGAGAGAGGCAAAAAGCTTCAGCCATTTAAGTCATAAAATAATGTTTTAAACAAGTTTTTTATTAAATTTCAGTTGTTTTTATGTCCTTTGAATTCATATTTTCTGTGTCTGCACATCCTGGTGTTTCCAGTGATTCTGCAGAGTTAGCCGGTTCTGTGGTTGACTCCACCATCTCTTCTCCATGTTTGCATGTCCACAATCCAACACAACAAGTTTGTATTTGAGCCTGTGTGTGTATAAAATAAAAAACAGTGAAAAGAAGAATTTCTCCAATTGGGGATTATTAAAGTATATGTCGATCTATCACTAGAGAGGTTAAAAGTATTATCAAATACAATACTCACATTGGGGGTCTGTCCAGCATGACATTTCTTTCGCCAGATAATGATGAAAGCCACAACTACGAAAACCGCTGCAGCAACACCTCCAATGCCACCACCATAAGAGGATGCTGGAGAAGGAACTGGAACTTAACCAACAGAACACACTTTGATCACAAGCCCATTTATACTTTTGGTCTGCAGGAAGGCGTGGTTCTGAAAGAGTTTAATAACAGCTAATTTCTGATTATGCTCAAAACATAATTATAGCCCTGCTCAGAAAGAGATAACATAGTATAGTTTGACATTTGGGGAAATAAGCTTTTAGAGGTAGAGGAGAATATTGATACCACTCTCATATGTTAAACATTAGACTAAAGCCAGCAGCTTAACTTAGCCCAAGGAATGGAGACAGGGGAAACAGCTAGCTCTGTCTGAAGGTAACAAAATGTACCTACCAGCATCTTTAAATGTTTAACAAATGAACATGTCATGTTTCATTAATTTAATCTGTGCAAAAACTGATATGTAAAAACGACAAGTGGTGAACTAAAAGGATTGGTTAAACTGCAAAAACAGGGCTCAAAGTGTCGGCCAGAACTGAACTCATTGTCTCCACAGCAACATCTTACTTTCATCAACCACAGCATGGTGGGAAATGTAGCTCTACAACTCACCACGTTACTTTCAGGCTTACCCCAGTTGGTCCTGATCACTGCTTTGTCCAGTTTGATGACGATGTTGTTCTTCACACCAGAGAGCTGAAACACACAGTCGTACCTCCTCCAGTCTTCAGGTGTGACTGATGAAAGGTTCAGGTCAACACTCATCTGGAAGGATCCATCGTGGTTGGGGAGGATCTCTCCGTGGTCCACGTCCTCATGAATCTCCTCTCCATCTTTCCTCCAGAACATCAAGGCACTGTCAGGGTAGAAACCTGTAGCGTGGCAGCTGACTGGAGAGGAGGGAGTCTTCTGGAGGAGAGACACTGAGGGAAGGTCTGGAGAGAGAAAGAGGCAAAAAACAGATAGGGGGTAGAGAAAGACAAAAAAGGAGAACAGGGAAGGAAATAAAACAGGGGAATAGACAGATGAAGAAATTCAAGAGGAATGAATCAAGGAAAATTGGACAGAGATAAGCAATGAAAGACACACTGTATCTATCTGCATTATGAGTAACTTTAAATTATAAAAAGTAAACTGCTCAGATAAAATCTATACATGACCTCTGTTTCCCTCATGGTGGCTACAGTCCTGAGAACATACAACACATAACCAGACAAATTTTACCCTGATGGTGGTAGAAGATAAGCAGTAATCCACCTCAGGTATGTTAAGCAGCCTATGCTAGCAGCTTAGAGCACACACAGAGTTAACTAAACCAATGATGAACTGTGATGACATGTTCAGCTGCATGTCGTTCTTCCATCGATGGCTCAAGGTGGGGTCCAGAAATGATGTGGGCTTCGTAGGCAATTGGCTGACTTTCTGGGGAAAATCTGGTCTGATTAGGAGAGACGGCATCCATCCCACTTTGGACAGAGCAGCTCTCTTATCTACAAATCTGACTGTTTATTACTGAACCTAAAACCTGACAACCCAGAGTTGAGAGCAGGAGGCAGAGCTGCAGTCCTACACGCTTCTCTGCACTTTAGTTAGAGCAGATACCCACCCAGAACCCCACAGAGACTGTGTCCCCTGACCACTTCAATTATTTAAAGAGGAAGTAAAGGGAAGAGGAGTTAAACACGTGAATGATTTTGATTTATTTAGTCTTAGTGAAAAAATTAAAAATTAAAATTGTTGTGTGAGTCTGGTCATGTGATTCTACCTTTTCTCTGCAGAGAGCTGTTGCCATAGTCCACATACTTCTTCAGTAACTCGGGAGAAGACTTAGTGATGAAATTCTCATTGTCTTTTATTCCAGCTTTGTCAGTATTCCACATCAGTTTGATGGGTACAGCCTGAGGTTTCAGAGCGATCCATGTCAATGTCTTCAGGTTAAGAGATATGAAGTCTTCTCCATTATAACCAAACTGCATAAAACTATTAACCTCTCCAGTCTCATCATCCCACTTACATCCAAACATCTCCTGTAAAATGTGGACACCTGAGAGAGAGACAGAGACAGAAACAGAGACAGTAATCAACAATGTACAGAATACAGATGAAATCAGTGGAAAGATGATCTTTCTTTTCTATGTTGTTGTATGAATTGACAGATGACTGTCAGTGTCAGTATACAAAGTGGGTATGTTGAATTATATGCACATTAAACTCTTATTAAAACAAAGTCACACCTGTGTGACACCTGCAGTCTCAGATGCAGTCCAAGCTCAAATTCATTAGTATGCACATGTTAGCTATCCTATATCTGTGTGTCAAACAACAAACCAGGCTGCAAATCATTTTAGTAGTAAGAAGTATAAATATAATACGTACAAATACTTTACCTCCACTTTGATTGAGGCGCTGCTTCAAATCCTGAACCACCACCACGAAGTTTGGCACTCTCTGAAAACACTCCTGAGCACACCACTCAAAGTGCTGAGGATAATCTTCAAATATCTTTTTCACCCAGTCCTGTTTTGGTTCTACTATATTTTTGTTGCTGTCGCAGTAAATGGCCAGACTTCCATCAACCTCTTGAGCTGCCACATACTCTGATATGTTTGGGTCTCCACTGGATCCAGTTACAAAAAACGTAAGAGAGTGTATCACTGCAGGACAAACAAAGTTTATACATTCAGAATCTGATGTATTCAGTCAGCAGCCTATGATTCTATTAAAACATATAAAGTCAGTCTTATAAAGTTTAAGTAAAAGTGAAACTAAAGTGCTGTTTTCTGGAGCTACAGGAGCCAAATGCACTCTGTGGCTCACGTTATCGCAGTCAAATGCAGAGCCGAGTGGAAAGTGAAGCAAAGAGCTTAAAGAGTTCAAATGTGATCTTACCTGCTGATGAAACGTGACAGAAGAGAAGCAACAAAAATAACACTACGTTCTCTGAATGCTGGGCTACTTGTGGTTCCTATAGTCTCTAAAAGTAGAACAGGAGCCAGAGCCTTCAGTTACCAAGCTCCTCTCCTGTGGAACCAGCTTCCAGTTGTGGTTCGGGAGGCAGACACCCTCACCACATTCAAGAGTAGGCTTAAGACATTCCTCTTTGATAAAGCTTATAGTTAGGGCTGGATCAGGTGAGTCCTGAACCATCCCTTGGTTATTGAAGAATATATTTGGATGCTGGCGTACACAGTCTGGCCTTAGTTTCCGGTAAGAAAAACTGCAGCTACTCCAGAGAATTATGTTTTCCTTCTTTATTCATTCCTCACATGAACAACGTACAGGATGTGTCTTGTTGTGGTTTCCTGAATTACACAAAATAAATAAACAGCAAATATATTATTATTTTAACGAAATAAAGCAATAAGACTGTGAACTAAACAGATACACAGTACTATGCAGTAAAATAACATGAGGTCGGAATGACACTCCGTAATAGGCGCACGTGGGCGCCTCAGACCACATCATTACACTGTCATACACAACAACTGTACTAAACGTAAATGTCGTCGGGTGCAGAGCCCGTACGCAATATTAAACACACAATGAAATAGTATTATATGTCTAGAACATATATATTAGGGAATTCAAACATATTAACCAGACTCTGGTAATATATCTAATGTACAAAAAAACGTGTGTGCGTCAGTACTTTTACAACATAGCAGCTAACATAACAATAAACAGTGAATATAAACTTACTCTGCACTCACGCACAACGGACACAAGTTATTTGGCTCTGCTCAACGCTCTCGTAACAGAGAAGGAGGTGTGCAGCACGCGACGGGTAACTTAGCTACCGTCGGGACGGTTCTGACGTTCCTTCGGGACAACTCGGGTCCTTCCGGTTGCGATCGGCTCTTCCCGTACACGGCAGAGCAGGGGAAGTTTGCACAGCCGCCCCCAAATTCACCTAGTGAATTTGCAGTTTCACAAAGGTCCCTGCTGTGTTGTAAGATCAGTCTCAGTCCTCTGGCATTTCTGGCAGGGGGGATGAGTTTAGCCACTGGCCGTGTGTATGTAGACCCTTTAATGTTCACCTCAGCTGTGCGTATCCGGCCGTCATCACTGGGGATCACTTTGGTGACTCGTCCAACTGGCCACAGTGCTCTTGGCAGCTGTGGGTCAATGATCATGACCACCTGATCTGGAGTGAGGTCCACAGTAGAACTATGCCACTTCCGACGATGTTGAAGGTTGGGGAGATAGTTCCTTGTGAACTGGAGCCAGAAGTGATCTGCCAGCACCTGGCTGTGTTTCCAGCGACGACGTCCAAGCAGGTCACTGTTGTGATACACGACTTGTGGTAGTGATGCATCCCGCCGCCCCATGAGTAGGAGATTTGGCGTTATGGGGTCAGGATCTGCGATGTCTGACGTAGCATAACCAAGGGGCTTTGAGTTAAGAATCCCCTCAACTTCTATAAGGACCGTCATGAGGACTTCCTCTGGGAGCACTTGGTCTTTCAAGACTACTTGCAGGGATGCTTTAACAGATTTGATTTCTCTCTCCCAAACACCGCCAAAATGAGGTGCTAATGGTGGATTGAATCGGAAGTTGATGCTCTGCTCAGCAAGCTGATCCTTTAGTGATGGCTCAAGTGCGGCGAAGGCTTCTTGCAGCTCTCTGTCTCCTCCGCGGAAATTAGTGCCTCGGTCACAGAGAATCTCAAACGGCTTCCCTCTTCTTGCCACAAAGCGCCGTAAGGCGAGCAAAAAAGGAGTCAGTGTCCATGCAGCACAAAAGGTCCAGATGCACACACCGAGTGGTGAGGCATTTAAAGACAATACCCCACCTCTTCTCATGTCTGCGGCCTATTTTGATGGTGTACGGGCCGAAACAATCCACGCCGGTAGACCAGTATGGCGGTTGGTTGATGCGCAACCGTGCAACTGGCAGGTCGGCCATCTGGGGAATGACAGGTTTGCTGCGCCATTTGCGGCACTCTGTGCAGCTATGCTGATGTTTCTTGACAGCTTGACGTCCACGAATAATCCAGTATGTCCTCCTTATTTCTGCAAATACACGGTCAGGACCTGCATGAAGCAACCGGTTATCATAATCCTGTATGAGCAACCGCGTGACATGGTGGTTTGGTGCCAGGATGATAGGATGGATGGTGTCCTCCCCTAGATTCTCTGCCTTTCGAAGTCGACCTCCGACCCTTATCAACTCCACATTTTCGTCGTAGACAGGGGATAGAGACAGCAAGCTGCTATTAGAGCTGAGAGGTTTACCAGCTTGCAGGGCAGTAAACTCCGCCGGGAAACACTCCTGTTGTGCTCTCTTCAAGATGACAACTTCTGTATTGACTCTGTCGGCTGCAGTCATGGGAGGAGCAGCCGCCCCGTGTAGGGACTGGAATGTGGCACCTACCAGTTCTGACCATGAGTTCACCTGAGTTACATCTGGGACTGGAAGGCTGCTTACTGTGATATTACCACAGAAGATGGTATCACGTATTTCTTCAGCTGGTGTAGGTGTGTAACTTACAGCAGGATCAGTTGGCCACTCGGCTTGAGGCTGGTGGAGAAAGGTCGGACCACATGTCCAGCGATTTGGCTTTACTAGTTCCGCCAGGGATTTCCCACGGGTGATATCGTCAGCAGGATTCTCTTCCGAGGGAACATGTCTCCATTTGTCTGCTCCAACTAGCTCTTGGATCTCTGCTATCCGTGTCCCCACAAACACCTTGTACTGCTGAGATTCAGACTGGAT